AATTTTTCAAACAACTTATAAAATTAGAACATTTTTATAATATTATTAGTTTAGAATTTTATTGAACAATTTTATTAGTTTAGAAAATTTAAATAATTTTTTTTATTTACAAATATTTACAAATTTTAAAATCCCAACTTCATCCTACAAATTTCTTCCTCTAAACCTTCCTTCTCTTCTTCCAATTTATCAATCCTCTTATTTAACTCCTTCTCCTTACCTCCTCTAAATACTATTATATCATTATAACTTTTATATAACTTATTATATTCATCTTCTTTTTTCTCCAACTTCTCCTTATACTCAACCATTTTCTGAAAAATATCTCCAACATTATACCTAGCCAAAAACTTTCTATAATTTTCTAATTTCTTGTTCGCACCTTCTTTAAACTTCTTAAATTCTCTTACCAACTTACTATTACTCTCTTGCAATATCTTTATCTCCTCCTCGTAAAACTCCTTACTTCCTTTAAACTTCACATCGACATATTCCAACTGTCTTTCTTTCTTCTCAAGCTCCTTTTTATACTCTTCCATCATCGAAAAAACTTCTTTTCTCTTCTCTTTTCCTCTCTTAAATCTTTTATCTTCGTATCTCCACTTTTCTCTTTCCTTTAACTCCCCTACTTCTTACTCAAACAGCAGAAAATGTTTCTCTTATAATAGATTTTAGTCTAGTAGAGCTAAGTATAGATATCTCAGAATCACTGCAATCTGGATTATGCCAAATTTCAAAATTAAAGATGTCATATTAGAAAATAAATACGTTCCTTCTTCAAACACTAGTAAAGTTATTGCTGATAAAATTTTTAAAAATATTGAAGCTTAGAATTTTGGGCATCACATAACATCAATTACTACTGACAATAGGTCAAATATAGTTATAGCTTTCTCCTTATTGAATCAAAAAGATAGATGTGATAAGATTAAACGTCTTTCTTGTATAGCCTATACTCTTCAATTAGCAATCAGAAAGGGACTTGTACTAGCTAAAATCTTAGTAGTATATACAAGAAAATTAATTCAATTTTTTCAATCTCCAAAACAAATAGAAAGGTTAGAGTAGATTTTTTAGTTAACAACTAATTAATTAATTGATTAGCTGCAATGAATTAATTGAGTAATTAATTAATTTCAATCCATTCATTGTAACTAATCGATTAAAGAATTAATTACTTAATTGATTAGTTGATATCTAAAAAAGTTTAATTAATTAGTTTCAACCAACTAATTAATTTTTTTCACTTTCAATTATAACATTAGGTTAGAAGAAATGCAAATAAAGCTAGATTATACAGATATTGTGCGTTGTATTCAAGATATATCTACAAGATGAAATTTATCATACTATTCTTGGGATCATCTTTTTTTCCTAAAGAATACCATTATTCAACTTCAAGCTAATTTGTATACATCAGTTAATCAGGAGATTAAAAAAGATAGTATTAAATTAAAAAGTATTCTTCTTTCAGACATGAATAGGAGCTACTAGACAAACTCATTGACTTACTAATGCTATTTGAAGAGGTGACACAAGAGTTCTCAAGAAGTACATATATAACATTAAGTAAAGTTCTTCCAACTATTAAAAAAATGATTTATGACTTAGTAAGTGAAACACCATTGAATAATGATCTTTTCTTAGATGAAGATATTGTGTTTGAATTAGATAAAGAAATGCAATCTATAGACTTCGATAATGATGAAATTATTAGTAATATTACTAAACAAAGTATCTTAATTAAAAATCTATTAGACACGACAGGTATTTTAGATGAAATTAAACAAAATATATATAATGCATTAATATACTATTAGAACGATCCAAATAATCTTGGTTTAATAGTAACCTTACTAGACCTTCATTACAAAAGTTTAGATTTCCTTAGTAATGATTCTGAAAAACAACTTACTATTCAAAAACTTCATTATGAATTTAATAAAATAGAAAATTCAGTATCTAAACTTTAAATTAATCTAACACTATCTAATACAGAATTTTCAACATGTTCACATAAAGCATATCTTCAACAACGTCAAATAAAAAGAAAAAGAAAAGACAACTTAGTTCCGAATCTACAAATCCTTGATGAAATTTTAAATTATTTGTTATTGCTATTAGTATTAAAAACAGATAATCTTTTGAAATGGTGAAAAATGCACTTGCAAAATTTTCTAAAACTTACTAAAATTGTTCGAAAGTATTTTGTAATACCAGTAATATTAGTATTAAGTGAAAGATTATTTTTAGATGCTGACAATCTCATTAGCTCTAAAAGAATAAATTTAGATTCAAGTTTAGTAAGTCAAATTCTATTTTTAAAAAGAAATCTAGGTAAAATGGATGTTTTGTATCAGAATGAAATGAAGACAATATAAATCATAGTAAAAAGGATTGAAAGCCTACTTGAAGTTCGATAATCTGTAAAAAAAAGAAAAAAAAAAACAGTAGTATGTTGTTAATACTACTGTAAATAATATTTCTAAATATATAATTTAAAGTCAAATAAAGTTTAATATTTGTTTTTTTGTCATTACAAGTTCATTTCTGCGTGATTAAAGTTTAAGTTATATTATAGATGTCAAATGAACAAAATAGCACCATTATTAAAAATCAGGTACTGAATTCAGATATTGTGACACTAAAGATATTATACATATTGAGCTACTGTCAAAAGCAGATTATCATTTTAAAAAAAATTGATATCTTAACTTTCAAAGCTATATTTCGATGAATTTCTAAGCTATTTTGATGATTTAGTAGTCAAAAGAAAGTTTAAACTTTAAGCTTTCTTTTGACTAGTAATTCATTTTAATAGCTCAGAAACTCATTGAGATATAGGCTTTGAAAGTTAAGGTATTGATATTTTTTAAATATTAATCTGTCTTATTTCTATTAACAGTAGCCTAATATTTAAAATTAGTTAATAATAGTATCCCTATATGAAAAGTAGAGAATTTTCAACTGCCTACTATTCAAGAGGCTTATTCAAATAGTTACCTTATTTTGCTTTCTTCTCAAGGTTATGTTTTTAAGCAAAAGGATATACTGCAATTACTCAGCTGTATACATATGTACGTAGTATATCTCACAAAAGATATATATCATTTTCATGCAAATTGCATCATATAAGGTAATATAGAAAGTAGTATAGTCAGAACTACGAAAAAAGTAGCATAGTGTAACAAAAATAAAAAAAATTATCTGTTATATTTGAAATAGTTCATCACACAAAAATTGCAATTAATTAAAGTAAATAGTAAGACAAGCCAAGCTCATTTTATGTTAAAACATATACTGTATATACTTTATTAATATTGTTATATTGGTTTGACTTTTTTAGCAAGACCAACTAACTAGAGAGACTAATAACAGTGAATACTTTGTTAATGTCTCTTGTTACTGTATTTTGTCAAAGTCTTTAGAGTGTTTTTATAAAACTTAACAAAGAAGATTTAGGGTAATTTGCAATTATAAAAGAGGTAATAATTAAAGATATATGAAGATATCAATAAATATTTATTTTAAAGTATCAAAAAGGTACTTTTATTGTGAAAGAGTATAAAGACTTGATAATGAAATCAAGGTCCACATATGCCACTTTTTACTTTACAAAATATTAGAAATGTAAAAGCTACATATATTACATAAGCTATATATGCTATAACTATTACTAATAAAATATAAAATATAACTAATATATATATGAAATATATAATAAATACTATAAGTACTATATATATAATAAGTAGTAAATATATCTCAAAAATGTTATGTAATAGATATGGTACATGTAATAAATCTTGCATAGTAGTCACTCAGCTAATCAGATTGCACAAATTATAATAAAAAGCTGAATCTTAATTATTTCAGAATCTAGTGATTAGATTTTAATGATTCTTGGCTCATTAAAACTATCTCAGTGAGCTAATTCAAATAGTATATATTTTATCTAATTCAAACTAGTGAATTAAAAGTTATTAAAGAATTTGTATTTTTCCTTATATTTTATATGTTAATAGCATATATGCTAACTGAATCAAAGGCTTTTCGCATATCTTGAAATGCTATTCACAAATCCTTTTCTTTTTGAATTGTATCTTCAATAACATTGTTTAGGATATATATATAATTCTATAGTACTTTTATTAGATAGCTCTGCGAAGTTTGCATCTTTTAGAATATTCTTTTTAAAAGTACCTTACTTAGTCTTTTTTGTACTATTTTGACTACATGTTTTCTAAAAGTCTCAAGTAGTATTATTGGCCTAGTACTTACTAAGTTAAATTTCTAATTTATACTTTTAGAAATTAGGTATATTTGTTCTAGTTTCTATTTTTTAGGGAATTTTTCTTCGTATATTATTCAGTTTGTGAATTTTATAAAATATTCTTTAATTTTTGAGCTTACTTTTTTAATAAGCTTGTATCCAATTTTTGAGATACCAGGTGCTGTATCTTTTTTTAACATATCAGTAACCTCTGTCTATTCTTCTTTGGTTACTTTGCTCATGATACTTGTGTATTAGTCTTGGTCAATTCTTTCTTGTTCTTTATAAATTTTTGCCTATTTATTATTTATTTGTTCGAACTAATGATTTCTTTTTCTGAATTGATCTTCAAAATGCTTACTACTTCTCTTTTGATCTCATCACTTTCTGTAATGAACTTCTTGTTTTTGAACTTATCTTTGCTCTAATCTAGTATTCTATCAACTATAATTTTGTTATAAGAGTATTTGAGAAGTTTATTTAGCATTTGCTTTTGGTTTCTGGATATTAATACAAATCTCTTTTTTATTCTTTCTTTTATTTCTTTTTCTTTTTTAGCTTGCAGTAATTTTCATACTTTTTCTTTGAGTATATTTCACTATTCTCTTATCTCATTGCAGTATTGTGTGTTCTAAAACTCAAGCAGATATAGTATACAGATTTTGTATTCTGTATTTAGGTACTCTATACATGTATCTAATATTACTCTCTTGAGATTATCTATATCTTGTTTTATAGCCTTAGCTTCTTTTCTATATATTCTTTTTAGAACTTTAGCTCTGCTGTATGTTAATGACTTTGTTACTTCTTTTCTTATCTGGTTTTTAGAATCTTGTATTTTGATAGATAGAATATACTTGCTTGCTACTACCTGTATTGCTTTTGCAATTATTTCTCACTCTTCATCAATATTTATTTCTATTTCTCTGTCTATTTTACTCTCTCTTTTTCTTTTCTTTTTTCTATAGTTCTAATTACTTTTTCTACTTCTTGGCTATAATTATTCTAATTTTCTTTATTTGCCTTGTAGTATTGATAAAGTCTTCTTGTTTCTTTTAGTCTCTTTTTACTTTTTTGTTTTTTCCTTTCTAAAAAACTTGAACTATCTAGTTTTACTCAAATCAGTTCATAATCACTATCTGTAATTGTTTCTATTTCATTTATATTGCTATCTAAAATAAAACTTTTTATATCTTATGTTGTCTATATGTGGTCTATTCTAGTCAATACCTTATCATTTGACTATAAGTACTTAGATAGTCCTAGGCTACAAAAATAAAAAACTTCTACATAGGTCTGGTGATCTTAGTATAGTGGTTAGGTTGCCAGACTACTATGCAAGAAGTCTAGGGTTCAAATCCCACTGTCAACGAATTTGAATAATTACCTGAACCTTTGTACTCAACTTACAGTAAACTCTGCTCATTTCTGGGGGTTACAACCCTGTAAATCATGTTGCACTAATATCAATTAGATATTGGAAGTGTGATACAATGCTCGAGTTACATTATACAAATAAATCTTGATAGGATCTACAGGCAGAGGACCTGCATGGTAGAAATCCTAGTTTGGTAAAGTAGTACAGATTTCAACAGTTAAGCTAGTTAACGTCTGATCTAGTGAAAAGCCTAAGTACGAAGGATATGAGATCAATAGATGCAAGTAAGTCTACTGTATAATGAAGCCTGGTGCCTTGCATTAGCAGCAACACCAACTTGGCTTGGTAGCTAACTAGATTGGGAGGATTTACCTTGTGAAACATCTAGCTGGAACTTGGAGGACTATATTTGGTGAATAGCCACAGCAGGAACTGAGTTTGTACGAATATCAACAAGGGTCTAATCTAAGTAAATCTGTGAAATGAGCACATGACTACTCTAGTAGAAAATACTTCTGAGGTTAATCAAAGCTCTGCGGCTTACAATATATTGGGCATATACATCCTGAGAGGACCTAAGCTGTACAGAGAAATGGATCTGCAGGTGAACCAGTTAGCGTAAGCAGTTGGTTATAGTGGTGACATTAGTTTAGAATAGGGGAAAGGGTTAATAATCAGAGTGTTTAAATAGGTAACTCATAGGCAGGTTGCAGATATAGCAATATAGTGTAAAACTAACAGATAGTCAATAATCTGTATGGCGAACTACTTAAATTAGACAATGACTAAAAGTTGTACGTATAGCTTGTTGTATACTCATCATATAACTGTAAAACCTTAGAAAACTATTCATATGATAGTTCTGCAATAACAAACTAATAAAAATCTAATCGGCCAAGGAAGTGGCCTTAATAAATAAAAAAAAAAAAAAAAAAAAAAAAAAAAAAACGTCAAAAAAATTTTTTTTTTTTAGCAAGTTAAAATTTTTGTTGTATAATGTATATTCCTCCGTCTTT